GTTTTTTTTTTGCATTCGTTTTGACACTAATGGGAGGAGCACATCACTGTTGTCTTGGGCACACCAGTAGGCCTAAGTGGTTTCTTGGTCACTTGTCTCTCAGACTCTAATATAGGGCCTTAATTAGCATATTCACTAGCATAGAAGCCTTAAGGGATATAGGGAAAATCACTAATCTGCCATAATCGAGTTAACTCAATCTAATACAAGTTTGCGATGCTGTCAGGAGCAACAGATAACTTGGCCAAGATTTGATCATATCCTTGCAGATTCCAGATACCACAAGCTCAAGAATGAAAATTCCTGATAAAGGGGCTAAGAGATTTAAAAGGATGGCAGCGAATTGGTTCGCGTTACAAATGGGCAATGACCCAATTTTCAAATCTCTCCTGAGAAGACTATCTGGTTGACTGCTCTCCTGAATCCTCTTAGAGGAATACGCTGAAATCTAGGGATCAAGGCTGCAAGGCAGACATGGATCTAGGCTAAGCCTGCTCCATTAGACTTAACACGCGGGATCGGCTAGGCTTAGAATAGGCCAATTCACTTTGCCACAAATATTCGGCAGGTCTAACGTTAGCGTATGCTTAACCTGATTCGACTGTAGACTTTAGGCTAACTTCCCAGGTGGGTTTACGCCTGTTTTCCTGCGCTATGGAACTTAGTTCTAGGCCAACCATAGACAACAGAGCAAGCTCCTTAAGCTTAGCAACTATCTGTCTGAAACTAGGTCGAACATGAAACCGATGCCTAAGCTTAACAGTTACAGCTATGCCTAGTCACGGCTCTTCAGGCCAGGAAGGACTCAACGTATCGCTAGGCCGATTCAGACCTGACTGTTTGGAGCGATGGAACTAGTCCAGGTTGCGGCTAGGAGCTATCGTGGATTTAAAAGCAGTCATATCACAACTTGTAGGAGAGAACACCTCGACACCCACTCACTGAAAACCAGGTGATTCCGCCGGAGCGGGCAGACATGTTTGACTGTACTGCCTGACACCTAGTGGAGAAAAGTGTAACTTCTGTTTTCAGTGTGCCTGTAAGATGCCTCCCAAGTTAGGATGCTTGGGTTTCAAAGCCGCAGGTCAGCTCCAGTAGGAATTTCCTTGTGATAAAAGCCTACAAAAGCACAGATGAAGATTCTTTTTTGGTTAATCTGAGAAACCACGAACACCAATTCCAATTCGACGCAAAGCGTTCTGGCTGGAAATAACTCGGAAGCGAAACTACAATATGGAGGTGGTACTAGTGCATACATATATGCCATCTCCATGAAATTGCTGGCATTAAAGGATTACCCATCCAAAAAGAAGTGCCTAAGAACATGCAGAAAAATTTTTCCATTCAGATAAAAATCTAAACAGGGAGGGAAGAGAAAGGCGAAATGAATTCATGAGCCCTCTTGGGGGTTGCCTGAAAGATCTTTCAGCAATGCAAATCCCTCCCTTAGAGAGCAGCATTTGCATTGCTACTGAGGCAGGGATAGCGGTGTTCCTTGTCACAGCCATCTGTTGAATGCACTCAGTGTTATGCTTCTGTACCAGGAAGTGATCCGAGGTAAAAATGGAGTTTCTTGTTTCTCTGCTGGTGACTCTTGCACTCCAACTTTGGTAGCACAAGACAAACTTGCAACCTCCATCAGTCAGCAGAAAATTGATTGACTTTCATTTTTGTACATCTCCCTGATATATGATATCCCCATGGGGATTCTGTGCAATTGCATATGTTTGTAACTTCATTTCCAATTCTTTCTTCTCGAGTCTTGGCCATTTTTTACACGATACATGCAACAGAGGTGATTTCATGTTGCATCTGTGCAAGCACACTTCTGAAGATTTTGAGATTCAAAACACGAGATAAAATGAAGCTATGTGCTTGTATTGATCAGTAACATGGAATGTAAAACCGTATGAATGACCAGCTCTGGTGGGAAAAAAAGGGGTGTGCAAGATGGGGAACACAAAGAGCCACCTCCATGGAGTGATGGGTTGAAACAGATCGCCATTAATTGAGTGAGGGAACTTGGGCAAGATGAGGCCAGCTGACTTCGAGACTGGGCCATTTGGTCTGAAGGCACACGAGGATCGGACTCGCATCCTGCACCACGGGCAGGTGTCCGTCCGACATTTCCGCCTTACCTTCGTGATACACCACCTGGAAAAAATTGAATCGATGTTGTCTCTCATCGTGATAATTTGCACACATCAAGCTGCCGTTCACACATGCATGCAGAGCAAGATACAAGACCTGCACCATTGGGCACCCCATATTATTGGACCTTCCTCCTCGACATGGTAACAAGGCAGTGGACAGGATAGGAAACAAGACTGCCAAAGTGTCTGATAGACCTGGCCTGTATTCACTGAAAATCTTGACCACAGACCATGTATTATGCTACTTTTCCAATTCATGAGAAATGAGCAAACTTCCTGCTAAGCACAGTCACCTGAAAGCAATGGCTAAATAAAATAAAACCTTAGCAGGCATTAACTCAACATCGATGAGGGAGTTGGGGTGTTGAACCCTGAACACTTCCCGTCCACGCAGAATGAGTCACTTATAATAGTTACTTGACACACACATGAGGGCACTCTACTAATACATTGTGCACTGAAGTGGATATTTTATATTTTTTATGCGAAACAAATGACAGGCAATAAATTTTAACATATTATTTACAATTATACAGAATTGTAAATGAAGAAAACTTTTCTGTTTTGACATATCTTCATTACAAATGTAACAGCAGAATTTTTTAAATACAACCAAAAATACAAAATATTCACTTCAATTGACACACAGTGTACTTCTATCACTGGAAGCTCTAATTTTTATAATTTTTAAGAATATTCCTTCTGCTGAATTACTTTATTCTTCCCTGTCCCATCGTAAATGGAGAGGTATTCCTCGTCAAGTCTCACCTTTCCATCTGGATTGGACCGGGGTAGACCATTGTAGTGGCAGAGTGAGAAGAAATGAGGACATCGTTCAGGAGAACCATGCGACGAGTCCTCCTCTGGGAAAAACTCATCCAAGAACGAAGATAGGATTATGATTCCAAGCTCCTCACTGTCCATCTTCTTCCTCATTATCTCCACACTATGTAGATTAGGAACAAGGCATGTCACAATTCATGAATGAGTACAGGATAAATCTCCCCTGGCAGAACAAAGATAGGACTGACTATTCTGGCAAGGACACAAGATCCAGGCTGCCCATGAGATCGGCAAGGGATGCGGAGGGAATGAAACCCTTTCCCTCCAGATCAAAGTTTTGGAATGCACGCCACGCTCGGTCCCTCTCGGTATCTTGATGGACTAGATTCCTCTCAAATGAGAAGATCACTGAAATGAAGACAAAAGAGAAAGCTGAAGGTATTGAATTAAAGGGACAACTGATTAGAACAGGAAGATAGGAAGGAACTAACCAGTGAGATGAGTTTCGCTGCCAAGAAGCCAGATTGGATATATGGGGTTCTTGAGAAACTGACCAACTTCACAGTAACGGTGGTGTTCGAGAAGTGTGAGAAAGCCCACTTCACTTCGTTTCTTGATCCCCTTCATTGCTGACAATTGAAAAATCGAGTAAAATTGAGAATCCCAAATTATAGCACACGTACCAGTACCAGATCGAACGTGACGAATGTGAAAACCGTACTGAGTCCACCGACGTCTCGGTTGTTATCCCAGACGTGAGACACGGCCCTGCCGGTGAGCATCATGTTGATGAGTCCCTGGCAAGCGTGACCGTGAGTCCTGTCTATGAGGGACTCGCTCCCCTCCTCCAATTCCTCCATCATCTCCTCCACTCCCTGATCATCAAGGTTTACTTCATTGGGACAAGCCTCTTCCAATATACAAAAAGAGTGCTATTCAGGCTTACCTTTGACATAATGACAGAATAAAGAAATAAAAGGACTCCAAATGAGTTGAAGAGAAGAGAGATGCACTCAGTCAAGTGATGCCTCAATTGCTCCAGTCCTTGGATTGCCAGGAAACTAAAACAGGATTATGAATCAATGCATTCCAATTGAATTTGTTTTTTTGGCACTGAACAAACATTCCAAAATCCATAATACTTTCAATGACAGCAAGCCAATTGCATTTATAAAGTGTAAGAAAGTGGAAAAATACAGAAAAAATGTTAAAAGGTTTTAAAGAAGAATAAAGGATAGATGATGACTCCTGCCAGTAATCAATACTGGAAGCCAACTCTTTCTTCCAGAAATAACCATGTCACTATCATCAAGTCCTTCAAATTTCTTAATGCTTCAAGGTTTTGGGCATTAGTTACTTTCACCAGTACATCTTTCATCACTGTTTTAAGAGGACCTACTCAAAGCTCAAAAGTGCAAACTCACTCTAGGCTATTGTGAAAGTCCTCCATAGAAGTAATACTACCAGCAGGCAGAGAGACCGCCTTCGGCTCGCTACCGGTGGCATGCATTTCGTCGGTGGACGACAGATCATCTCGAACGGGGGTCTTCCATGTAGCGACTTTGAAGTTCCGATTCGGACTGCACTGCAGCAGGATTTCAGACAGGGATGAGACGAATAGCCCATTCCTTGAGCTGATGCTGATCTGAAAGGAGAGCTGCTTTCAGAAATTGTCATAGTGATACATCCCAAAGCAATGTTTCATTTGACTGTATCCAAGCAGACTTGGGAGCTCAATCTATCATTCACCATCCTCTTCAAGTGAGATCAAAAGAGCTAGTTGTGAGCATGGAGTACTTCTTAGGGATCTGGCAGCTGAAAGATTTCAAATTCATTTATTGTAGTCTTAGGAATCCATTAGTGAAATTGATTGGTTCAATTTGAAAGGATTTCATGCATCGCAGTCAGCTTAACTCTATTTCTCCGGTGGAAAAGCCATTCATCATGCATATAGAGGGTTTCATTGTTTTGACTTGCTTCTCATGATCTAATGGTTCTACACATAAAAAATTGGGAAAGTTACGTTTTTCAAATCCTGCAGCTCCTTTGGCGTGGGATTAATTTCCATCATTGCACTTCGGAGAATGAAGCCCTGGACCGGGGCAATGACGGCACAAGGGCCCCCTTCCTTCTGGACTAAAGCAGTCGGCTCGTCTGAGCTGAACATGAACCCTGCAGACAAAGAAACGACGCTTGGGGTTTGCAAACCTCGCTAGACCGCTCCAGACAGCCTAAATGTAGTTACATACTAACATAAAGCGGTAATTTACCTTGAGCCCAACGTTGGAAGACATCGAGCGGACAATTCTGACCCCAAAGCAAGGTTCCCAGGGAAACAATCGGATCGTCCTTCGCCTCCATTCTCGGGCCTGCACCCAACGTAACCCACAAGCCCGCCTAAAGCCAATCCACCCGCATTCCGTAGAGAATAAAGCCAGAAAAGCCACCTGACTCCTGACCTCCTTGACACTCGGACTCGCCGCCCTCCCTGGGCGCCTCCATGATGCCGCCCCGCCGCCCCGCTGCCCCGCTGCCCCGCCCACTCGTCCCCCTTCGAGCATATTTTCATCACGCCTTTTAAATATCACCTAATTTTTATTCTCTAAAACTGGAGCTAATCCGAAATAAAATTCCGTTTCTTAATTGCGGCGTTGCACTTAAACGCTACGTTTACCGTTCGGGTCACCGCCCGGTCGCAAGACGAAATTCGGGGAAATCTCGTGACTCTTTCGTGACTCTTTCAGCGCAGTTTCTCGAAGACGTGAGAGAAATTACGG